TAGGAATACAAGGATCATACCTAAATATAATAAAAGCTATATACAGCAAGCCAACAGCTAGCATCAAATTAAACGGGGAGAAACTCAAAGCCATCCCACTAAACTCAGGAACACGACAAGGCTGTCCACTCTCACCATACCTCTTCAATATAGTGCTTGAAGTTCTAGCAATAGCAACAAGACAACATAAGCGCCTACCCTGCTTGGTGCAGGCAGGCCACAGAAACAAAGGAACTGCAGCCCGCCCGGGCGCCCGGAGGACTTGGACCCAGCGCCCAGACAGGCTGGGCTGGGCTGGGCGATGCCACACACCAAAAGAGGGCGGTGGGGCCGAAGTGGGGAGGGCTTGGACGGAAGCTGGGTGGGCCAGGAAGAAAGAGGCAGCACCCAGGGAGTAGAGGCCCCTCAGAGAGCCCAAGAAGGACAGGGGGCCAAGGAACCCCCGAGCTGCCCATCGCAGGCTGGCACCATGGGCCAGAAACTCACCCCAACGCTGGGTCTCCTGGTGCCGAGAGCTTAAATTTAAAATATTTTTAAAAAGTAAAAAAAAAAAATCAAGAAAAACAAGCAAAGAATTTGTGTAAGAAATTGAATATTGCTCTGTAATGAAGGGACAAAGTCTGGTCTGTTCAGGTAGGTCCAATTTGGCTCTCTGGAACTTACAAGAATGTTTAAATTTATAAAAAGAGATAAATTTTAGATACATTAAGAAAGTCATGGTTATGATAGTATAGTGTTAGAATAGATTGCTAGGATTTTATAGGTTGCTGTTAAGATTATGAACAGTTATATAATGAGAGATGAGGGAAGGGAAGAAAAGGAAATTATTAGACCTTTTAATGTTTTACCTGAAGCAAACCTTAAGGCACATGTGTTGGAGGAGAGCCACTTGTTCATCCCGGCTGCCCAGAACTGAAATAATCACACAGAAACTGTATTAATTAAATCACTGCTTGACCCATTAGCTCTAGCTTCTTATTGGCTAACTCTTATATTAATTTAACCCATTTCCATAAATCTGTATATTGCCATGTGGCTGTGGCTTACCGGGTAAACTTCCTAGCATCTGTCTCTGGTGACTCCATGGCATCTCTCTCCACCTCTTCTTTCTCCCAGCATTCTTTCCAGTTTTCCCCATCTACCTAAGTTCTGCCCTATCAACAGGCCAAGGCAGTTTCTTTATTCACTAATAGTAGTCATAGCACACAGAGGGGACTCCCACATCACCTCCCCTTTTCTGCTTAAATAAAAAAGCTTTAACTTTAACATAGTAAAATTACATATAACAAAACAGGTATCAAGCAAAAATTACAGTTACAATACTTCTATTTACTTTATCTTTTATCATAACTAAGGAAAAGTATAACTATAACTATCTATTCTTCAACTCCATTAAAGATTTCAGAAGGATATAATATTACCTAAGTAAACAGGAAGTACATTGTAAGCAACTTCAAAAACTCTAGAATTGGCAGAGATATCTCACTGCCTGGACAGGCACACAAAGTTCTTCTGTACCACTGAGGCACCCATCTTCAGCCTACTGGCCCATAGTATCTATCAGACTTTTCCACGAAGCAGGAAATTTCAAAGACAGTTCTACCTATATTGGCAGTTTGACAGTCATTTTCTTCTGTATCCTGCAGAATATCTCTCAGACTCTTTTATGAAGCTGGAACCCCCAAAGACCATATCACCTTTAGGCAAGTTCAGCAGTCATTTCTCTGTGGGTCCTGCATGTCCAGTTAAGTAATCCAGGCAAGAGCAGTTTTTCCCAAAAAGCTAACCAACTCCATAAGGAGCCTCTTCAATGCCCATCTTCTTGTTGAAGTAGCCTGTGCTGCCAGGAGCAGATGTGTCTCACTGTCACGGAAAGTCTTAAGTTCTGAAAACATTTAAATGCCATATTCTGAAGGTCTTTGAAAGATTTGAAGAATACCTCTCTAACTGAAATATATCTCTATATATCTAGAAAATTTAAGTAACATGACTAAAATCTTGACTATTATAGATGACTATCTATTAACCTAAATTTTTAAATTATACGTTACACTATTAAATGAACTACACAAACACAATACCTTAATCAAGGACAGAAAAATACATATACAGTATAACAAAAGGTACCTTAAAATTGTATCAATAAACCAAGATCCATACCAAAGTAAATTATTCATCTCTATAGAATATCCCCCTTTAAATGTAAATAATTATAAATACTATTTGGGAATATGAGCGTAGTTCTGTCCATACTACTTCTTGCTATTTAGGAGCACTGTTAATCAGGTCTTTCATGGTGTGTCCTGTGGGCTAGGTTCATCTCAGTCAGCAGTTGGGCAAAGCATTTTCTTTTTGGAGATGTTCACAGCAACCTTTAAGGGGGCCTTGTTCCATGAAACCATATTGCTCTGGAAGCAATCCACAGGTTCTAATCTTCTGTGGAAACAAAAAGAGAACCTCTTTTCCAAAGCAACATATCCTTAGACCCAAATTTGGAAGGCATGATACCTTTATGATATATGCTGATTTAGTTTAGCAGCTCATACAATGAAATGTCTCTCTGTACTTAGCTCATTCACATGGTGCAGGAAAATTGTCTATATTCTGTCGATTGTGTTTCAAATAAATGTTGATTGGCCAGTAGTCATGCAGGAAGTATAGGCAGAACAACCAGACAGGAAGTAGAGGCAGGTCAAGGAGAACAGGGTGAATTCTGGGAAGGAGGAAGCCCATTCCTCCACAGTCCTGTGAATCCTAGTAGTGCACAGGGCTGGGCATCTAGTGCATTTGAGGCAGTCAAGGTAATTCCCCCTCTTGAAGATGAATATCCAAACACTGCCATAGTCGAATTCTTTCAGTATTTTTATTTTTTTTCATAGCAACTTGGCTTGTCAAAGTAAAAGAACATAAAGACAATGTTGATATAATTTTATCATGGTATTCAGGATAAGAAATCCCCATGGCCTACCCTAGAGGGAACTGCTAAAACTGAATTCATGACCCCATAGAAAAGTGTCTCAGTTCCAGGAGTACCCAGTAATATACCAAGAGTAGCATTGGTACTCTAAGCAACTTACCACGAATCTTTTGAGAAAACCATGATTCGAGTTATTCAAGAGTTATAGCTGAAAAGCTGTTTTCTTGATGTCTGCTTGAGGTGAAACCTTCGGAAAATAAGATGATACTGGCTACTCAGTATATTGGCAGTTAACTTTTGTTAGCACTCTGTTTTGCTGAAATGTTAAGTTGCAACTTTGTTTCTCTGCCTTCACTAGCAAATTTGTACTGGGCGTATTATGCAAGCTTCTCTTTGCTTTAGCTTTTCTGCACTTTGCTATTCACTGGGAGAGACTTCACGGCTAGAGTTTGGACATCATCAGGAGAGTGGTCAGAGAAGGTGGTGTAGTCAGACTTTTTGTGTCCTGCCAGCCAGCTCCTGAATAACCACATGGAGGCTTATTAATTATGACAGCTCCAGCTGATAGCTCAGACTTGTTTCTCATTAGCTCTTATAACTTAAAATACCCATTTTTTTTATTAATCTATGTTCTACCATGTGGCTTTTACCTCTTTGCCATTTTGTGTGTTTGACTCGTTCTGCATCTGGCTGACTTCTCAATCCTTCTTCTTTCCAGTGTCCACTGTGCCTGGAAATCCTTCCTAGCTACTGACCATTTATCTTTTTATTAAACCAATCGCAGTAACATATCTTCACAGAGTATAAAGGAATATTCCAGCAAGATGATAAAATTCTAAGAGAGGGTCATGGTGCTTCAGTAGCTGGTTGCTTCATTCAGGTTAGTCACTCATAAACGACTCATATAATAATGTCCATGTCTCAGTGGGTGTTAGGGAGAATAATTACCACTTGTGGAATGTTTTCAAGTTTCCAGAAGAAAGATGATACATCATGGCAAAGCATGATTCTCCCAACTGTGTTCATCTTAAGCTTCCCCTGGGGCTAACCAACATAAAATTGTCATTCATGAAACTCAGCTATTGTAACAAAGTTGAGTATTACTCATAATGAACCCAAGTTAATGTTTAAGGTATTGCTGTGCTGATGAAAACAACAACTCTTAAATTGGTTGGAAGTAAATATGGTAGACTAAGTCCTCTGCTATGACGTTGTACTATTTTTGAAGTTGAAAAGTAAACAGAATTCTTTAAAAAGGTTGGCACTTAAAAGAACAACAGCTAGCAACAGCATTCTTGGAACATCTAACATATGGTAGGGCTATGCATTATGCATGATCTCTCTGAACTTTCCTAACCAAAGTGGAAATGTAGGGATTTTTGTGTCCGTTTTGCAGAGGACAAAATCTGAGCCACCAAGATGTTAACTTGTCCAATAAGATGAACCTGGCAGTTCTAAATAGTATGACTGGGAATGGGAAAAGCCCAGCTTGAGCCACCACAAAGTTCAGACAGGAGCCAAGGAGACTCTAAACTAGATTAGGATAAGGATAAGTTCCACATCTTCAATTTGGGCATCCCGATGGATAGACCTTCTGCTAACGACAGTGGAAACCCAGGATGGGGACATGGTTGACAGGGTAGATAGATGACTTTGGTGAAAGATAATGTGAGTTTGAAATTGTCAGGATATCACAGTATGCTTGGAGCATGGAAAGGAAGTTTATATGCAAACTGGATTTAGTGGCAACTCTGGTAGGTGTAGCTCAAAGGTACAGTCAATTTTGGGGAATCCTCCAGACCTTGGTATGGGCCTGGGAGACAGGTGGGTGACAGGTGTCTATGATGATCTCACCCTGGGACTCCAGTTTGGCTTTCACCCTCTTAAGGGCTTCCCCTCAGTTAGCGCTCTCCATCCCTGAGGTTCTCCATCCCTTCCCTCCTCTTTTTGTAGTCGCTCTGCCCAGCAAGCTGGTATTGGGGAGCAAAAATAACCACAGCCGGTTATCCAATAACCTCCCGGCCTGGCGAGCGTGGAGCCTCAGCGCGCACGCGCGTTCTGGCTACGGAAGCCGGAAGAAGTGTCAGAGGCGGTTGGTTGCTCGGGTTTCTGCTTGCGGCGGCGTTGGCGACGCTGCTGGCTTTGGCAGCATGAACCCTCTGTGAGGCGCAGGCTTCGCGGCGCGGGGGGCGGGGGAAGAGGAGGACGCCTCTGTGAAGTTCTCCGCCATGAACCTGAGGGGCCTTTTTCAGGACTTCAACCCGAGGTGAGGCGGTTACGTTGGCGGTGCCAGGCGGGGGCTTGGATTCGGGCAGCGGCTGGGAGAGGCGAGGAGGCCGCGGTGCTGGAGCCTGAGGACCCCGGCACCGGCCCGAGGCTCCTCACGGCTGCCAGCTGCTCTCGGAAAGCTGTTGTCGGCCTCTTAGTCCGTCCATCCACTTCTTCCTCCCGCACCAACTGGAACCAACCGGCCGTGGCCCAAGTTGCCCAGCTTGGAGCGGTGTCCTCCTGGAGGGAAGCCCATTGCTCTCCACTCGTCCTCTCTATCGTATTCCAACTTCTCTGTCTCGATTTCTCTTTTTCCTCACCTCACCGCTCTGCCTGCCTGTCCCCATTCTCTGTGCTAGAGCCATTTCTCTTGACCCTGACAACACCCCACCCCCCACCCCCGGCCACCTTCCCAGATGTTTCCTCTAGTTCCAGCTCTTGGAGTTTTCCTTGGATTTATGCCTGTCTGCCGTTACTTTGCTTATTTATCGAACAGATATCTGAGATACTGAATTTTTAGAGTCGTTGCCAGGGTATTGTAAATCTTACATAATACCTTTGGGGGATGAACCTGATCGTTTCCATACGCATTTTCTTAGCCTTTGTTGTAAGTTTATTCGCAAGAAGTCGGTATTGCTCTGCTTATTTCCAAGACTTGAAATCCGTAGTGGGCAGTGCAGAGAAAACACTGGCTAAAGTCTAAATCTCTGTCCGTTCACTTGCCAAACTGTTGTAAAACTGTTCTCTCTGCGAGGTGTGAGCTTCCAAAACAGAAACCACTTCCTGATTGTCCCCTTCCACAGCACTTCCCACCCACCCACCCCATCTGTCATATAGTAAGTACTTAGAAAACGTCTTTGGAAGTAAACTGAGTCAAGACCTAGATTGGAGACGAGGCCATAGGTAACCAAGTGATTCTTTGTTCCTCTTTAATAAGCTGTGAGGTGAGTTCACTTCACTGATCTCTTTAGTCCATTACTGTGTAAAAGGAGGATCGAAGACAGGCATTCAAGGAAGCTAGTCTTGTCAGTCCCAGCCTCCAGTGCAGGGATAGACGATTGGATGTATCGTGCATTCCTGAACTTTTCTAGCCCAGCAAGATCACTTTCTTGGCTGTTTGTTGGACATGAAAGGAACTAAAGAGAGAGGGAGAGGGTACTATTTGGAGTGCAGTCTTCTTTAAATTCTAAAACCACTGCTAGAGACTGGGTGCTCTCATTTGTCTTTGTGTTCATATTCTGACCTTGATCTGTGGATGTCACTGTTGACCTCGAAGTTATTCTGCAGAGAGGAGTTCATTTAGAATAACTATACTGGAATTTTTTCCTCTGCTGCTCCTAGGACAACTTGGGGATGGCACTGAAGCTGGGCACATCTTGTATATTTTCTAGAAAGAGAAATAAAAGCTGAATAGTTTTATGTCCTTGGGCAACTCACTTATCTGTCAGTTTTATCTATAGAATGAGTATAATTGTTCACAAGGCTATTGCGCCTGAATTAATGGCTGATTCCAGTGTTACAAATAGAAAGTTCTGTGACTTGTTTATTAGGGATCAGCTAGGCCAGAAGCTGCAAGGGGCTGTTTCAAGTTACCTGAGAGCTGTGAAAGCAGTAGTGCGCCACTGACAACCATTTTTTTTTCCTTAAGCATTTTTTCCTCCCAATACAAGTCTAAAAATGATAATGAAATGCTTTGAAGAGATTTATAATAATCATTAATACACTTATTAGTGCTTGAATTCTAAATGGAGTACAATGCATCTCTCCCTGAAATAACTTAAAAGGTCTCCTGTAGGCCACCATTGTCCTGATTCAGTGTTATTAGTGGGAAGGAATAGTATTACCTTAAAGATGTTCCAAGAATACAATGATGAGTTTGATATTAACAGGTTAGATTTTCTTAGATAGTGGTGTTTTATGTATTATGGTTGATCTAGTTTTTAACATTGTGTTTTAATCTTCTCCATGCTGACAAAAGCCTTTCAGACACCTGGAGAGCAAACTGAGGGGCGGACCTCAGATCTTTGTGCTGCTGTCTTTGTCTCTATTCTGAACCAATTCGTGCATGTTCCTCTTACTCCCGGGCTTCATCATACCTACTTATTTAATAGGGACTTTGGTAACTTCTATTTACCATTGAAATCTCTACTCACTTGGTAGTTGCTGAAAGAAGTTGTCCTAGTTTCCCCAACCCCAATCTCTGTGGAATAACATAGTCCCCTGTTTAGAGCACTTATCTGTGCCCTTGCATGTGTCCTTTTGTTTATTTAATATTTCTCTCCCCTACTGAAATTTAAACCATGTAGGACCAAACCTGTGACTTCTATTACTGTTGTTTCTATGATATAACAGCTGGCTCTGTAAGTATTTGCAAAATGAATGGTAACTCAACAGAGCTTGTAGGAACAGTCTAGAACTGCTTTGTTCAATGACTGCTTTCCTTCTCGTTGTATGGACTATTTTCCTTTTATGTCCCTTCAGAGTGCAACTATTCCATTGATGAGATGGGAAGGACTTTGAGAGTAAAGAAGAATGTGCTCTGGAGATTATTTCTGTAGCACAGATATAGCCACTGTTATGGTTTGGTGGTTCCTACCTTGCAAGTCTTGGTCAGCGAAAATTCACTGTGATATTGTCATTTTTCTAGAAATAGTAGTAACACAGAATGATTCAAAAGTGTTTAGCACCCAGCTGTGAAGGGCTAACAGCTGACCCTCTACCTATTTCCCTCTGCCACAGAAGTGGTTGATCATGAACTTTCTTTCCCTAATTGCCTTTTAGTTAAACAAGTTAAAATTCTTGAAACATACTATGTCTACCAAGAATTCTTTTTGACTGCCTGAAGCCTCTAACAGCTTTACAGATTAAACAGACTATTAGAAGTTTACAGAGATGGGAATCTGATTCCAGAATGTCTGTCCCTGGGAGGTACAGATTTGGGTGTATGTGACGTTAAATCGGCAACCTGACTATACCACAAGGCCTCAGGGTTGTCTACTCTTTTGGTAGAGTTGTTATTTGTTAGAGAAGGCCCTTCAGCTCTGCCAGCCAAACAGCATTGAAAGGCTGTGAGAACTCTGCTTGGCCTACTGACTCATCTGTAGTGGGCTCGTGATGGGAGTGCAGTGTATTCCTTGGGTATTCTAGACTGAAACAAAGACTGAAAAATGCCTTTGGGGTGGGGATGGGGCTTCCTTATATGGACATGTAATCCTAATGAACTAAATTATCTTTGCAATCTTCTTGTATACTCCTTATTCTAAAGCTTCTCTTTAATCTTTGTAAGTTGTCTTTTATTTGAAATCAGGAGAAAAAACAATGTGATTGCTGGTGACAGTTCACTAAAGGCCTCTGCAGCCAGCAGATATGCACATGGTGTACAGACATGCATACAGGCAATACATCTATTCATATAAAATAAAGTAGTATGTTTTCAAAAGAATTGTTAAAAAGGAAGGATAGTGTAGTATGATCACTGCACATAATGTGTGCAGTGTTAAAAAATACATGCTGTTGACGTTAGGGTATAGTTCAGTGGTTGAGCTTTTGTCTAACATGCAGGTTTGATTCTCTCTAGCATTGTAAAAACTACATTGTGTTAGTTACTCCAAATAATCCTTAAACTTTTAGAAGTTGGCCACTGATCTGTCATTATGAGTGTACTGTCAGTACTGATAACAAATTACTGTAGGGATGACTGCATATCCATTGGTGGGCGTATAAAGCCACTGATAGAATATTGCCTTGACTTTTACTGATTAATAGTTGTTAATAATAGCAATGACTTATGAGCATCCACCATGTGTCAACACATTTTTGGCACTTTATTTTTCATTATCCTTACTCTTTACAATAGCCCTACATATCAGATATCAGCCTCATTTTATTTGATTTTCTAATTTTAATACTTTTTTTTGTTTTGTGTATGTCTGGGTGCACATATGGCACAGTGTGCATATGGAGGTCAGAGGATAGCTTGCAGAAGTCAGTTCTCTTCTTCCAGCATGTTGGTCTTGGGGATTAAATTCAAGTCAGGCCAGTGGCAAGTGCCTCTGCCTATTGATTAATCTCTCTGGCCCCAGCCAGTTTCATTTTAGAGAGTCTGGACTTCTCTAAAGTCAGACAGGCAGTTGTGAAGTAAATCGAGATTCTAATCTAGGTCAAGTTCCTTCTGAAGCTTTTTGCTCTACCCTACATGTCCTTCCTTCTATGACAGTATGTTCAGTATACTGAGGGGCCATTTTGGCTAGTGTTTTTTCAACTTGGCATCAGCTAGAGTCATTTGGAAGAGGGAACCTAAATTGAGAAAATGTGTGCCACCCCCACAAGTTTGGTCTGTGGACAAGCCTGTGGGGGCATTTTCTTGATTAACAATTGATAGAAGAGGGTTCACCACTTCTAAGCTGGTGGTCCTGGGTTCTGAAAGAAAGCAGGCTGAGCAAACCTTGAGGCTTAAGCCAGTAAGAAGCTCCCCTCCATGGCCTCTGCATCAGCTCCTGCCTCCAGGTTCTTTCTCTGCTTGAATTCCTGCCCTGACTTCCCTAAGTGATGGACTGTTACCTGGAAGTGTAAAATAAAAATCCTTTCCTCTCCAAGTTACTTTTGTTCATGATGTTTTAGTACAGCAATTGAACACTAAGACAGGGACCTTTTATTTAGGAGTTGTAAAATGATTATACAAAGCAGACCTTATATTGGTGTTTTTATATTCAAATGTTATCATTCAAAGAAGTTGGGAAAATAAAATATACCCATTCCACTGCTTAGAACCCTTGTTAATATTCTAGAATGGCCTTTGGAGTCAGTTTTATAAATCACTTAAGAAAATCTATCTCAGTGCATTATAATAATCATTTTTGAACCAAAATAGTGACACCTAGTTTGATCATATATCTTATTCACTAAATTTGGCACTGGTTTAATTTTGGCAGTTTCCAAAACTCACATCCACTCTCAGCAAAGATTTGGCACTATTTATATAGTCGAAATAATGTATGT